CTATTTATAATGATATGCCATGATGATATTCTGTTATGTTCACTAATATACAACTTTGATATACTATGATATGCACTTCTGAAAAACCTTGATACACACTGATATACACCTCTCTGTTATACCTCTCTTATATACTCCTATTTGTGTACTATTTTATACTCTGATATACCACAATATATTATGATGATATTCTGATAGATGCTTTTATGATATTTTGCATATGTTTGTTTGTTTGTTTGTTTCTAGCCATTCATAGACTGGATAGATTGACTTCAGGGTTATTAATGTTTGCAAGGTAATAACTTTATTGCATATTATACTAATTATAAAAAATATCATTATTATATTAATTTGAATCGTAACAGATTATCTTAATTGTAGCTGGCATGAATGCAAACATTTTATTATGAAATATGATATTATAAAGAATGGATATGATTTTTATGCCGACTACATCTTTTACCAAACATTAGGATGACAACTGGTCTCACCGCTTAATGCCCATATTTGGGCGGTAAACTTTGGTAATGGTTAACATCTTGAATAATATTTTGTAGTTCAGATTTGCTAGAACAGAAAACATTCTTATTCTGAACCAGCATTACCAGTAATAACGATTTTATCTCACTTATAACAAAATAAAACAATCTTGTTTTGCTTTGTTGCTGCAGATCGCTTGAAATGTCACAGAAACTTGATTCTTATGTCAGAGAGAGGAAACTACAGAAGACGTATATCTGTCGGGTCAAGGGAGAATTTCCAAGGTAGCGAGTGCATCTTATTTGCATATATTGACAGTGAAAGGATTTTGAGTTGTGAAATCATGACTTGATCCTGATATGGACAGACAAACAATTTGAATTGACTGAAATACAAAGTGAAACAAATTCTTACTAAACTTTAGTACCGGATTCTGCTGTAAATTCGCCCATCCGAAAAATCGCCCTGGGCAGTTTCACGGCTGGTGAGCTTCAAAATTTCAAAAATATGATCATCAAATATTTGGGGGGGGGCCTTATAGCTTATATTTTCATTCAAAAATCCACCTACGTCGGCAGTTCGACCACCCAAAACGAAAGAAACTATTGCAGAAGCTAATCTAAAATTTTATACATTTTTTTCTTGCTGGATTAAAAAGTAGACCGCGCACCTTTCTCCAAAAAAATCACATTAACAAACCTCGTGCACCAAATACAATTTTTTTTTTCATTTTATTAGTAAGGAAAGTATATTTTAAAAGAAGTTTCAAATAAAAACGAACCCAACTGAATTGCTTAGTAGCAAATGATCGCGGCAGCGCAATTCGGTCATGCTGTGTTTCACAATTGTTGATTATTACATGCAAAAAATAAATTTGTTGAATTATTATTTCATCGTAAGCGAATGATTCCGATCGCATTTTCAACACTTGATGCTGTAGAAATAAATATCCACCATGTTTTGACCTGGGAAGGTGTTATTTGACCGGACAGGTCAAATCGCTAATTAACCAATGAAAACAATGGATGATGCCAACGTGTTCAAATTAACATCGCTCATTTAAATATGTTAATGTTATGAATGCAGCACAGAAGTGATTTGCCGATGTTGTTGTACGATCTTTTGGCTTGGATTTTGATGGGAAAACGGCATGATTTGTTTAAAAAATTAGTTGTTTTTAAAAGATAAACTGAGCATTTAAAGAATAATTTAACATTATTTACAGCAATAACAGCTCATTGTCGAAACGAAGCTCACCCATTCACACTAGTCGCAATAAACATCAATACTCTTGAATAGGCGTCAATAACTATGGTGAAACTTTTAGGCATCAGAAAAAATTAAAATAACACCTTAAAAACTGCTGAAAAATCGCCCTTGGTCCCATTTTATTTATTTTTCAAACCCAAACTGCTGTTTAACGACCCAGGGCGAATTTACGGCAGAATCCGGTAATTGTGAGGTCAAATGTCAAACTTGAATCTTGAACCAGCATAGCACATGCATGTTGACACTATGTATTTCCAATGCATTGCTATGAGTACTAGGTTGTCACCTGGTAATTGTATAAGTCAATGTCAATTTGAATGGTGATCACATGAATTTTGAACATTTCTGTTGGATACATTTTAAGTTTTACAATACATAATACACATTGTATAACAGGGATGGGTTTATGAAAAGGTAAGAAAATAATAATAAAGTATAATAAAAGGAGAGTAATATCTGCCATTCTGTGTATTTTGTGTTAGTCAAAATATAACGTGAATTACTGATATATTTTCATTATTATACCTCATGACCATGACAGCCAATCAGATTAGCATATTACAGGTAAACATATTCGTATGTCTACCTCCATCTGGATACCTTATTCCTGAATTTACCTGATTTACACCAATAACTTGTGAGGCTTCACCTCGGTTGACAATGAGCTCTTCGGGTCGCCAAATCTATATGTCAACCTCTGTTGGGGTGAACATTTGTATAATGTTTGCTGTTTTGGTTTAATGCTGTTGACCTTTCCCATGATACAATGCCTGACATTATAGAATAGAATCTTTATTGCTATTGTACCCTATATTTGAGGTTTTAATGAAAAATACAATAAAGTACGGTAATACACTTGAAAACAAACACTAATACAGAAAAACAAAAATCAAACAAGACACTCAAATTTCTAAACATAGAAAAAATGTTTATATATGCATTGATATTTGAGATAATGTGATTTCTATTTATGTATTCAGTGAGCCTGTGGAATGCTGTGAGCCCATTAAGACAATGTCTCATAAGATAGGTGTATGTCGAGTCAGTCCTGAAGGCAAGGAGTGTCAAACCAATTTTTATAGAAAAAGTTACAATGGAACAAGCAGTGTAGTTATATGTAAGTATTGGCTAATATTTTGATATTTGTGGCTTTCATGCTTTCCTTGCTCAGGAACATTAACGTCAGTTGCTCCATATCCCATCCCATTATTTTTGAAGAACTGTCAGTATGTAAATTAAATTTCAACATTTTATCACATAACCAATTCTGAATGTCAAAACATCAGAGAAACCATTTTACGCAACTATCAACCGTATGCAAATTAGGTATGGTGTCGAAACATTTGCAGTAAGTGATATTTGACACATTAACGTTATTACTGTGAATAATATGCTCTGTGGTCATGTGATTAAATGAAATGAGAGTAGCTGTCAACACCACTGAGTTACCTTATAATTACTCTCACTTCATCTTGGCTTTGTTTGGCCGCATATAACTGTTTTTCACAGGTGAGCCACATACAGGTCGCATGCACCAAATCCGAGTCCATCTTCAATATTTAGGTTATCCAATAATGAACGATCCTTTGTACAACAACCCAGTATGGGGTAAAGATGTAGGTAAAGGAGGAGTAAATGATCTACCAGACGATGAGGTAAGTGAACAAAACTGTAGTCAAACTTAGTTGTAATACTCTTTGCCTCGTCACATTTCTCAAATAAATCAGACAGTTTTAAAATTAGGTCATTGTCCAAAGATGGCGGAGACTGATCAGCTGAATTTCCTGAATCTACCATATGTGACACACTTTACCGGTACACATAATTGCAAAAAAGAAGTTGTGAAGCGTAGGTTTCAAACTGCTGCATGTGATGAAAAGAGTCAAAACTAGATTCTAGATTGATTTGCATGTACATGCTTATTTATAAAACATTCCCTTCCTTCAAATAGTTTTACCATATTTATCCGGGTAATAGCTCCCCCCCCCACACTTTTGATACAATAAAAAAATTGAGGTCATATTCTGGCATATGCCCAGGGGGTCTTTATCTATACTTGTAATAAAAAAAGATATTTTTTTTTTTGTATTAAGAGTTAACTTTGTTGTGATTCTGATAAAAATTCTTGAAAAATAATTGTCAATTGCCT